TCATCCCTGCTCTCTTGGTGGCTGTCTGCCTGGTGGGCTTTGTGGGGAACCTATGTGTGATTGGCACCCTCCTCCACAGCACTTGGAAAGGAAAGGCATCCATGATCCACTCTCTGATTCTGAATCTCAGCCTGGCTGATCTCTCCCTCCTTCTGTTTTCTGTACCTATCCATGCTACAGCATACTCCAAAGGTATTTGAGATCTAGGCTGGTTTGTCTGCAAGTCTTCAGACTGGTTCATTCACATGTCCATGGCAATGAAGAGCCTGACAGTTGTTGCAGTTACCAAAGCATGCTTCATGTATGCAAGTGACCCAGCCAAGCAAGTAAATATCTGCAACTGCACCATCTGGTCAGTGCTGGGGACTATCTGGGCCGTGGCCAGCCTGTTACCCCTGCCAGAATGGTTCTTCCATCTCTTCAGCAAATCCTCTCATTTTCCTACTAATGTCTGAAGAATTCAAGGAAGGCTTGAAAAGCTTGTGGAAATGGATGGTGACCAAAAAGCCCCCAGCTGCCTCACAGTCTCAGGTAACACCAGCTGGTAACATGGAAGTTGTTCCTGAAAAGGTTCCATCTCCCAAGTCTACAATATCCATTCCAGAGAAGAAAACCAACTCACCTAACTCTGGCAAAGAGAAACCTGAGAAGGCAGAGATTCCCATCCTTCCTGATGTAGAGCAGTTTTGGCACGAGAGGGACGCCACCCCTTCCATACAAGACAATGACCCTATCCCCTGGTAACACGAAAAGTGATGAAATCTCCAAAGAAAATCTACAATTTGTTGTCTTTACCAGTACCACTGCTTACTGAGTAGTGCATAAAGTACAATAAAATTACTATTAGGAATTACAAGAATGCTTCACCTTCTGCATTTTAAAATGTATAATGTGGTAAGTCATTTATCATGTGAGAATTATGCTTCAGAATTAAAACCTGGGTGTCCAAAGATTTCGCTGTAGAAAACATTGGTTGTGTAGAGATGCTGTTGCCTGTGACCAGAATCCAGATGTTTGCTCAGCAGGGTCAGTGGCTTTTGCACCTTAGGCCCAGCCCTGTACTGTGCTGGATGGAGTAGAATTTTATTCCTGAACCCATGGTTTCTAATGTTAAAAGTTTATTTCTCATACCCAAAGCTCAAATTAAAAGTTTTGCAAGTGTAAATTTTCCTTCCTGCTTTATTTGCTTGGTATATGTTCTTACTCGATAGCACTTGACTTTTCCTGATCAAAGTCTACTGAATAGGAACTACTGCTTTATTCAAGTTGGGAGCCATTGTAAACTATAGCTCGATTGGCAAACTTTAACTCAGACTTCGCCTTACCCTGTAAAGGCTGTTTCATTTCCACTGAAAAGCAAAGATCCCCACCTTCCCTCAGTGGTGGGGGGGAGGGGGTTTAGCATGAGAGGGAGCAGTCCCCTAAAGCCTCTAAAAATGAAAGGCTTTGCAGCTTCAAGGTCTAAACATTGTAACAACCTGACATTCTATACAGTGATTTAAATATTTTTAAATTGCCCTTCTTTTTCTTCTAAAATGCAGGAAAGTCATTATCTACAATAATGTCTTTTCTCCCAAGAACAACCTAGAGTTAATGATGCAGCCTTAAATATAAAGGATTTGTAAACTTTGATGCTAAGTGGTATCAACTTTATCTGTAACAATGAATTTGAACCCTGCCCAACTTTGAAGATATTGCAGGGCTTCTAAGTAATGAAGAATAACAAGCATTTTGGATAAAGTATGAGAAAAAAAAAACAACAAAATGACACTGTCCAAAAAAATGTACTCTGTACCTGACTTATGTCACTATAATCCCTTTGTACAACACCTTCAAAATAAAAAGTTAAAAAAAAACATTAGGACAGAATTTGGCTAGTAGAAAATAAAAATCACAATGGTAATGAGAAATGAAAAACTGCCACGCCTACTCCAGTGGAGTCTGCTTAGCATGGGAAACCATCTTTCAGACCTGAGAAAGGGGCTTCAGAGACCTATCTCTGAGTATTGGGACTTCACTGAAGTCTACCTCAGAGAATGGGGCTTTACAGAAACCTATCTCCGAGTATTGGGATTTCACCGAAGTCTACCTCGGAGAATGGGGCTTCTAAGAGGCCTACTCCTGGAAAGGCTGGCAAACCCCTGGGAAAGATGTGTTTCTGCCTTTCTTTTCCTCATAAGAGTGCCTATTAATCTTTTACTGTTTCTACTTCTCTTTGTACTTACTCATTGTCAATGTTCCCTTATTCAAAGCTCTTTCTTAAGAGTGTTGACGACTCCAATATCTGATGAGTGTCTTAAAAAATATGACTAACTCACCAGAGTTAAGTGCTGCCCTGAAACCCCTCTTATGGAGGCTAGTAGACAAGTTATAAGTAAATATAAAAGTATTGGGGGTTTCACAAAGTCACTTCAGCAGAAGGAATTGTTTGTAAGGGATTTACAAGAAGCAGTAGGCTCAGCTAGAACAGAAAGAATGTATGGCAATTGCTGAGACAATTATTTAGGAGAAAGAATTTCCTGCTATTTACTAAGAGACTTGCTAGATCCAGGTCTCCTTGAGGTTTATTATTAAAGAAGAAACAGGAAAGATCTTATGGGAAAGTTAAGGCCTCTATAAAGATAGGTAATAGTTAATTGGCGACAAACATCGTAATCATTGTATTTCTTAGAGATAAGCCGGAAACAAATGCCTATCAGGTGATCAGCTGGTGACCACCCAAAAATGAAGCCATGCAGCAAGAGTGTGTAACCTTTTGCCCTTTCTCATGAAGACTTCTGTTATAAAAGTTTGTTATCCTCTGCATTAAATCGCACTCAGCATCCACTCCTCTTGTGTGTGAGTTGTCTGTTTGCCATCTCCCCCCCCATTCCAGGTTCCTCCCCTAGGTGTCCTCCGTTGTCCAACAGAACCTGGTCCGTGGCAAAAAACAATATAAAACCATGTTCTCTGTACTTATAAATATAGTAAAACTTGAACAAGCAAACTGCTGCCTCATTTTATAGTAAAGTAAAATGCATCTA